AAGAAAACATATACTGTATTATCCTATCACCCACAGATAACAATGGTTTTCATTTTTGTTTCTTCCCTTCAGAATATTTTCAGTATTTTCAAATAGGTGCATCTTACAGAATACATATATATGGCAATATACTTTCATATTTTGCTCCTTTATTATTTAACATTATACAATGAGTTAATTCCCATGCCTAAAGTGTCTTTAAAAACATATTTTAATGGTTTACTGTTCCACGAAATGGATGGAAATACATATTTTCTTCATTTCTTTTACACTACGGTCCAGAAAAACACTTCAACTTTCTGTTCTCTCTCTTTTAAGTGGAATAGAAATGTCTAATACATGAATTTTCCCCTTGATAAGAGTAGGGGTTCTCAACTGGGGACAGCTTTGCCCCCAGGAGACGTTTGGCTGTGTCAGGAGACAATTTTGTTTGGGTAGAGTCCACAGTTACTGCTGAACATCTTACGGTGCACAGGACAGCCCCCTCCCACAAAAAATTATCTGGCAAAAAGTCAATAGCGCTGAGGTTGAGAAACTTGCTGTCCAGGGCAGTGTCAGGGTTAATATTCAACATCCACTTAAAATTCAAATGAGCCGTCTACCATTAAAGTACAGGACTTTGCCCTGGAATTCTGCTTTGGAATAATTACAACTCCAGTTACTAGAACCTGGAATATCTGGTATTCTACTTTCATTTTTTTTTATTATTGTATTAGAAATTTAAAAATAACAAGGAAAAAACATGAAACCAGAGACGATCATTTTAAAATTAAGTTCCAAGGATGGACTGGAGTTCGTCCTGGTTTGGGTCCATACTCCCATGTGGACACAGTCCCAGGTCGAGCTCAGTCAAGAACACTTTCCAAGGCAGAGAAGTGATACAGCTAACACGGAAATCGAGTTTCTGAATTCCAAAGGGGGCGGGGGAGTTGATGAGTACTTAGTTTGATGGGTGCTTAGTTAAATTCAGCTGAATTTGGAATCCTCTTCTCTATGCCTTTCCTTGAACAGAGGTTTTACTCCTTTGCAGCTTTTGCAATGTGTGAACTTGAAGAACTGCGTTTAGGAAACCACCTCCCTTCCCTTCTGTAGAGAAATGTGCTCATCCCTTTTATACCAGCTTTCCATCTTTGGGACTTGACCCGACCTTCCTTCCGGGAGACAGTTGGTGTGGACGCCGTTTGCTATGACGCTTCCCTGTGGACGGTCCAGATCCCACGGGTTCCACACAGACAAAGGAAATGCGTGCTGCTCGCCCCCTTCTGCCCTCATTCTTTCTGGGGTTTCTTGTGAATGGAAGAGGAGTTTAACTTGGACATGTTTAGAACTGTGTTTTGGGTATTTAAAAGATTACATAAAAAAAGCCTTCCCACATAGGTGCTGGGTGAGAGATGGGAAACAACAGAATCAGGGGTCACGTTCTGGGGCGTGACAATGGAAACGCAGTCTTTAGTAACACAGACTCAGCATGTCGAGCAGGCGGGCGTGGGCTGAGGTCAGAGATTCATGCCTGGACATCGATTTCAGCCTCTGACCTGGATCACTGCTGCGCGCTGCCCTTGCTGGCGTCTTTGCTCCCGCAGTATTTTATGTGGCTCATCTGCAGAGCCCCAGACCTGCGGGGAGGGGTCAGCAGAGCCTCGTTTGCCGTCAGATCACTTTCCAGGAGGAAGACATCTTCCCTCCTCCTCATCTCCTCGCCCCAGGGTTGGCTGAAGGCAAGAGGCATCTCTGGGCTCTTATCAGCTACATCGGCTAATGGCACAGACTCTACCATTTGGGAGGCTCTACCAATGGGAGAAAAGGGGGTGGGGAGACAAGGAAGGCACAGCCACGGAACTGGAAGACAACTTAAAGTAAGCAATCAGGAGCTGAAGGAGAAGACATGGGCTCTAAAATAAGTGGAGAAATAAAAGAGATGGATGGGTAGTCAATCCTCCAGCCTCTCTCTTCTAGGTGATGTGCAGTCTTTTATTTTTCTGCTCTTGGTCAGCAACCTTTGGTTTCCAAATACTGTACTTATTTTCTTTGTAATTTTCCATTAAAATATTGATTCAACTGCTGAAAGTGATCCAGCCGATGCTTTTAAGATTTGCAAGGCAGGCCCACTCTTCATTGGCAAAAGAGACACATCTGCAGACACAGATGCACCCAAACATGCAGGTGGCAGCACAGAACACACACACACACACACACACACACACACACACACACACGAGACTGTTATAAACTAGGCAGTGCAGCAAATTGGATTTGTTTATATTCCAATGAATCTAAGATTCAAATGGTTTGGACTGGAATGCGTATGTGTGGTGAATGAGGTGCTGAGAATGGGAGGTTGAAAGGAATCAACTTAAAAATGTGGACAAACATGTTTCCTGCTATAGAATTCCTCAAAACAGTGACTCCAAGTCATAAAAGCCACAAGGGGTTAGATCTGGATTTATTCTTGCAATCAATGTTGTCTTTCAGAGGGGAGCTTCCACGTTAACGATCTTTAGCCTAGATTGTAACATCTAGTATGCAATCTAGTATACAGGTGGTGACCTTTTAAATTTCTTTTCCAAATATAGTTGAAATATAACATTATATTAATTTCAGGTATACAACATAGCGGTTAGACATTTATATAACTTGTGAAGTGATCACCCCGATAAATCCAGTACCCATCTGACACCACACATAGTTATTACAATATTATTGACTATATTCCTTATGCCATACTTTGCATCCCCTTGACTATTTTTATAATCTTGCAATTTGCATATCTTAATCCCTTTTTATCTTTTTCACCCCTCCCTCCAACCCCCGCCCATTTGGTGACTATTAATTTGTTCTTCATATCTATGAGTTTGTTTCTGTTTTGTTTATTCATTTATTTTTTTTTAGATTCCATATATAAGTGAGATGATACGCGTTTGTCTTTGTCTGATTTATTTAATTTAGCATAATACCCTTTAGGTCCATCTGTGTTGTCACAAAGGGCAAGATTTCATTCTTTTTTGTGGCTGAGTAATACTCCACTGTATAACTGTACATTTTCTTTATCCATTCATCTCTCTATGGATGATCAATTTTGGTGGATTGAGGGGTCCATCATCAATTAATGGATGGATCACTTTTGTCTTTGACTGAACAAGTATTTAGGCAGCATCTATCTGCCTGCCAGATACCAAGGTGATGCCCTGTAAATATGATATCCGCATAGCCCTCAAGAATTAAAATGTAAGTGGAACATGAGACAGTTTTACACATAGTTGTAGCATTAAGTTATCATGTCCTGGTTCAAGCTGACTTTTCAATTCTAAGTAAGAGGATTGGAATTGGTACCTAAGATTTTTTTCCAGTCGATGCACCTTGGCCTCTCAGTGGACCAGACATTTCAGGTTGTGGTTAATACTTTCTCACTCACGTATTGTTCTGTGAGTGGGGTTCTTTGATAAAACAAAATGGCACTTCCTCATCAATGGAGCTGATAGATAGTACTACAATTCTAGCAGTTTTAGTCCTGAAATAATTTGGCTGACACTAAAAGAAGCAGGCCTACCCGAAGGGAAGCGGTGTAACCAAGATCACAGAACTCAATATTTGAAGGAGTTCGGAGTAGAACATAGGGTTGCACATTTCCCCTATTTTCTGTGTTCTTCCTGCTACATCTTGCTTCATTCGTGCCTAGGAATCAAGTAAAACAAAGATCTTCCCTGTATTAGGTTTCTGTGGCCAAAGGTGTGTCCTGATACAGGCAGGAGAGAGGGAAGGCAATCCACTGAGATTAAACCATACACAATACACAGCGAAATGCCTGCTGCGGCACAGCTCAGGGGACTGGAATGACAAGCTTCATGTCTTTCGTCCCCAGTGTTCCTCATCATTTTGTGTCTTGCTTTTTAAGGAAATCCAATCTATACAGGCCTCAACTTCAAAAACGCATAAATTCATGTCTCAAAAGGATTCTTCACTTTACAAAGGCGTCTTCAATAATATTCACTTAAATTTTGATGTGCCTTCCAAAAAATGTACACAAATTTAGTACGTTCCTCTGTAGAGGAAGATGTATTTACTCTCAACTTGAGTACACATTGGCATCACATAAGAAATGTTAAGTTGATTTTCATTTGTACTGTCTACATGACAGTGGTAATAAAACATGTCGATAAAATCTGGAAACATAGATATTATTAGTTGTTTTTAAGATGAAAGATGTTCTCGACCACTTGTTTATATTTGCCTATGTTTCCAGACTTTATGTACATCCTGCAGATCATAAACATAGTAAACAAGAATAAATCGCTTGCCATTTTTGGAAGCATTCCTAATGTTTTGCGTGCTTGGTTTAAAAAAAAAACACTATATATTTTATGATGGAATCTCTGTGTTTATAAACAAAACCTTGAAATTTACAGAGAAAGAAATCATTTTGACTTTTCTTACTCAATATTGGTCCCATAAACCATGACCAAGTAATGGCAAATCCTAACTCGAAGATGACTGAGTTATTTTGTTTGAGTTAGTTTAATATGTTCAGGACTGGGCGATTGTTTTAGTTTTCCCTAAATTTTGTCCTCTGAAGTTTTAAAATTCAATCATCAGGGTTAATTTTCTTAGGCATTTATGAGCTCTATAATATGGAAAATTTTTGTTCTGCAGGATTTTTCTTTTAGTCTCATTCAGATACATACTGGAAGTGAGAACAATTTGATTAAAAAAACACCATTTTTTTTAAACCTAAAAACTACAGAACAGATTACTTTTTAGTTGAGTTCTTAAAACGATCATCTGAAGGTATTAGACCAAATGAAAATATGAGACTGTCTGTTCGTTTCAGTGCCCAAATTAAAGTGGTTTCCAGGTTATGCAATGACAAAATCATAGCCTGGGTGACCATCTGCCCTGTCAATAAGTGGCCAGCACTGGCCTGAGTCAGCTAATTGTGTGTAATTGGGATTATGTAAAAGAGATGACACTCCCCTCTCCAAACAAAGAGAATCACATTTGTGCTAGTGCATGTGACCGCTGATCCTTCCTGGCCAGTGAGAGCAGACACTTGGGTTGTCGCAAAGTCTGTGTTTGCAAGTGACCAAGATGGTAGGAGTGATCAATTCCGGGATCAGCATGAGACAATGGGCAGTGGGGGAGGGGAGAAAGGGAGGAGGGGGGGAGGGGAATAAGAATCAGATCAAGAGGAAAAAGTCTAGTGTTGGAAAAAATCTTGTCACCCAGCTTTTAGATTCTGAAATACAGGCACGTTCAGTGTCTCATACCTGTATTTATACTGCACAGTTGGAAATGGTTATCCCAGTAGCTTCAGCAGGTGAACATGTTGTGAGGTGTCTGGTGGGGGTAGGGGCGTTAGGGGTGTAGTGAGGAGGGTGTTGGGTATGCATGCGGGGGGAGGGGAGGTTGTGGAAGAGCAGAGGTGATGCCACTGATTTCAAAATTGATGATTTATTTGTTCAAGCCGTTTTGATGAGTCAGGTATCTCAAAGGCCAGGCCGGAGCTGGGGGAGCCAACCTTCAACAAATGGGTGACTAGGTGGTGTGTTGGAAGGGGTCAGAAAAAGGGCTCGTCCTCAAGTGGTCCTGGAGCAAAGGCCCAGAGGTATAGTGGCAGCAACACACTGAGGACAATGACTGTCAGTGGTCATCAAGTGGGGAGCTGGAATGAGGCCTTGTTACCCAGCCATGATATTAAGGGAGGTGATGGGGTCCCCCCCGCCCACCCTCCTCTAGAGACGCAGAGTCAAAGGCACTGAGGCTGAAACAGTGCCAACAGCACTGTTAATTCTGACAAGAAAGAAGCCTTGGTGCAGTCTTAGCCCAGAATTTCTCAATCCCAGCACCATTGTCATTTGGGGTGGGACAATTCTTCGTCGTGGGGGCTGTCCTGTGTATTGTAGGCTATTTAGCAGCACCCCTGGCCTCTACCCGCTCAATACTAGTGGTAGCACCACTTTTTCCCCCTCTCAACCCTTTGCCCCCCAGGTTGTGACAAGCAAAAATGTCTCCAGACATTGTTAAATGTCCCCTGGGGGGCCAAATCACTCCACTTTGAAAAACACTTTTCTGGCCCCTCATACCCTGCTTTGCTGGAATCTACTGAGACAGAAAGAGTCTTTCCCCAGACTCAGATCACCTGGGGAGTCGCGCCTTCACAGACCCAGCTTCGTGTGTGCATGTGTTCAGGCGTGAAGGTTTCCCCGCGTGTGTGCATACACATTTACACACGCTGTCCGTGTTTTACTGAGTACCTGCTAATGCTCCAGGAGTCGCCCAGCCCTCATGTTGACAGCCAGTACAAGTTACAAATGCACAGCGCAGAGGCCACAGGTTGAGTTAGATACCGAGGCTGCCCAACTCAGCGCCTCAGAGAAACCTCTGTGGACATGAGCCCCTGGTTCCCTGGCACACCCTACAAGGCGGACGACTCCCAGACCCCCCTGTTCCCCTGTTCACCATACACCTACGATGTGACAGGCTCTGTGCTTTGGGGACAGGGAGGGAAGAAAGCCAGACAAGGCCGCAGCCCTCAGGAGCTGACATTCCAGAAGGTGGAGGCAGCATGGAAATTTAGGTGATTTCAGGGGCCTTGGTCTTTCACTGGGGTCAGAGTCTCCCAGAAACTGTGAGTCCAGCTTTGAGGTCCCCACTTGTCAGGCCACCTCGAAGGCCGGGAGGGACTTTGTCAATGTGCTCATATGTTTTAATGAAATTTTCAAAAGTTAAGAGAGTTTTTCTGGATGAGGACGCCTCCCCCCCCACAAACTGCATAAACTTGAGGCCCACAAACTGGATCTAAACCCGATTTTTACCTTCCTGTACTTTACAGAATCAGGTCCTCTTTCGAAATAATATCAGGCAGGAGAAGGAGAAAAATGCGTCTAGTTTTAATTCGCTGACAGAAGAAAGAAAACAACATCGACTCTCCAACAGTAAGAACTGAGAACACAAACTGTCACCCGTTGGGGGGCTGCTTGGGGGCTGGGTCAGAGGCTGGGGTCTTCAGATTCGCAGACACCACGGTAGAGAAAGAGATAGAAGCTTCTGGTGAGGGAAGCTGCGGTGTGGTTAGGAGGGGCCGAGCAGCTGGCCAAAACCCTTGGGTGGAAGCAGCCACGTTGCTCTGGTCAGGAGGCTGCGGCTGGGAGCTGCGGGCCTGCCGCCTGCCCCCGGCGCTCTCCGGGCCATTGTGAGCCCGTATTGATCAGGCCAGGAAGCAATAGGGCTGCGGCAGCTGAAGCTCTGGGGTGCGGAGCATTGATCTGGCCCCTCTCCCCAGGTTATTTATAGGATGCGCCGGCCTGGCAAGTAACTGGGGCGAGCCTGTTTAACGAGGGTTCAGGGCGCTCTTCCCTAGCTGGTTAACTTTAAGTATTGGAAATGGAATTGATGCGCACATAATAATATTATGATTCATACAAACCACTTCTCAGGCAACTCAATATATTTCATTACCTCCTTTCTGGCAAATGTATTGATTTCTGTTTTGCGGTTTTATAACACAATTTCAAGGCTGTTGTGGGCTTAATGAGCCGTGTTCTTATGATGTTTAAAAAGATTTGAAGCTATTGTTGAAATAAATATTATGGATCACCCCCTCCCGAGGCCCCCCTCCGTCTCTCCCTGCTCCTGCCCCCAGCAGAAAGCAGGGGGCTGCAGCTCTGCGGCCCTTTGTGACCCAGATCAAAGGACCCGAGCGCCACAAAGGCGGCCCCACTCGGGCCGCGCGGCCACACACAGCCGCACCTGCAGCGCGGCCAAATGTCATTGTCGCTTCTGCGGGGCGAGCGCGGGGGACGCACCTCCGAGGCGGCAGATGACTCTAATAACGCTTGATGGGAATTGATGGGGAAGGAGGCGCGCGGTGCCCAGGGCTTTTTATTAGCTGCCCCGGCTTCCAGAGCCTGAGCCCCAGCGCCTGCACCTGTGGACCCCCGTCCTCCCAGCCTTTATGGAAGTTGACAGATTTTATTAACTTTAAGGAAGAACTTTCCAGCGTGCAGAGGCCGCAGTTTATTTTGTATTCATGCGAAACGGAAACCGAAAAAGCCATGTTTACATATTTACCAGCCCCAGTGACCTCCCTCTGGGCTCCATAAGTCACGCTCCAGATTAATTTTGTCATAAAATTGACTAGTGTGCTAAGGGATCTTGGGAGTTTGGGGGCTGTCGTTGGATGCATGAATTTTTTTCAATGGGAGTAAGCTATATTCAATTATCTAATATTTCAGAGGAACCCCCTAAGACCTTCCAAATCGTGCAAAACTTGGAATTCTTTTAGGAGCGGCTGCTCCTGGGGAGAGAGCATTTGCAAGCAACCCAAAGTAGCCTTTGGTCGCAGCAAGGCTTCTGAAATCTTTTCGATAAACGAGAAACAAAGGCAAGGACCCAAGGCATCTTCAAACTTGGTGACAGTGACTCCTTGAGGTTTAGGGGTGGGGGTGGGGGGCTCATGCACGCGTTGTGCTCAGACATTGCAGGCTAAGCCCCAACACACTGGAAAGAACAAATTTTGGTTTTAGTAAAATGATACGCTTGGTAGGGAAAATATGGTTCCATAACCCAACACAGCTTTATGTAACTTCCACTCTCTCTCGACTAGAAAACATCCTAAGTGAGGACAAAGTGTTAGGATTTTGCCGATAGTTCTAGCTGCTCGCCGCTCTCAGGATCTTTTTAGGTTTTATGTCTCATGACAAATGGAAGTCCACGACTATGAAAATTCATGTTATATTAATGGCCAAGTGTTGAAAATTCAGCCCCAGAGTCAGCTGGGTATATTGCTTATTAGCTTAAAAGCATAACGCTTTCTGTAGCTTCCTTTTGTGCCAGATAAACTTCAAATGAACCGAGGATCATTTTGCAGGAAACTCTTAAGTTGAGCGATAATAGAAAGTAGTTAGTAGAATATTACACTTTTCATTTGGGCAAACAGATGGGATGCCTGCTTTTAGATTTAATCAGGGGCTGACAGACAGGTAGGACGCCGGGCATATTTTAGTTGGAGTCTCTTTCTTTTCAGGAAAGAATGAAACTACTTAATATTCAGTATATCCACTCCCCACCCCCACCCCCAGCCCATCTATTCCACCTAATGCCTAAGTTTTTCTCATTTCTGATGACATTACAAAGTACAAAGGTCATCTCACTGCAAGTGAATCCACTTATTAACACATCTTTTACTCTATTCTTCCCTTGCAAAAAAATAAATTATGAGTGTGCATGTGTGCGTGTGTGTGTGTGTGTGTGTGTGTGTGTGTGTGGTTAAAAAATAAAACAAAGGCTGCTTAAATCCCTGAGAGCACACCCAAATCTCCATTTACAGAGACACAGACGTAAATAAATGATTTAACAATTTGGGAGTCATGAGTCTCTGACCTCAAGCTTTCTCAACTAACCTTTCTAAAAGATTTTGATATCAATTGTTTCTCTTTTTTTCCCCAGAAGCATAATACGTGGTAACCTTAGCATGCACAGTCTGTTTCTACAGAGGCACACAGACAAGTGCAGCCAGTGGTGGATTTTAATATCATGGCAAAGCTTATATTACCTTGCTCGAAACAAAACCCCCCCCCTTCAAGGGCAAGTCCCTTGACACCCCCATCGGAGAGCATTTGTTATACAGAGTTTTGTGAGGCAATCAAAATTAATTCACAGTGATCTTTTCACCCAGAACCCCCAGCTTCTAATAATGGTCCTTCTCAACAGGTGTTCATTGTGGCAGTCTGACTTCACATTGCCAGACTAAAGGTTTTATTCTTTCGTCATTTCTTTTTTAATCTCGAACTTGTAATTTACTAATCTACAGCAGCTGCCAAGAAGGGCCCAGCTGCTTACCGAGAGGGGACGCACACCTCTGAGGGGCCCAGGGCCAGAGGACTTCACCTCTGGGCAACCAGGAGGAAGAAAATGAAATTGACAGCCTGGAAGGACCAGGCAGAGGGATGGAGCCCTGACATTGTCTGAGAAATGGCTTCTTCTGAGGCTGCCTAAAATTGATGATATGTGACTGGTGATATCAGACCCCTTTGGGGAGGTGTCAGAAATACCCAGGCTTTTGCACGGGTGGAGGAGGGATTTTTTTAACAACAGCCACCAGAAAAATATGATGCAGAGGGAAAGGGTTTCAAAACACTTCCGTTTTTCAACTGGGCCAGTTTAAGGAGCCCAAGCTAACATGCGATCTTTGTCAACTTTCAAATCCGCCTCCTTTTAAGGTGATCGTAGAGAGAGATGGGAGGAGTTTTTACTGCAAGGATTCTTGGACTCCACGGCTCATGAGAAGCAAGTTGGCGACTGTGGTGAGTAAACATGAGCCAGGCTCCCAGTTTCCAGATAGCCAGAACTGTAGGCTGTGGCCCTGGAGATTCTGACATAGTAGGTTGGCGTGGGGCCTGGGACTAGGCATTCTAACATGACAAGGTTCTCATGCTGGGGGCCTTGAATCTTTCTCCTGTCCCTTAGCTGCTCTGCTTGCCTCAGTACTCCTACCTCTACAATGCATTCCCCCTCTTCAATCTCCTCAGTCACGTGGTTCCCAGCATAGAATCATGTGGGTCCACCTCTGAGCAGGTTCACCCGGGGAGACCACTATTCTGGCTAAGGGGGGGCTTTCTTCCTAAGGAGATGACATCCAAATGGTAGAGGGTAGACAAGGTCATGGAGGAGTGACCACTTGCCATGCAGTCATTCTTGGCCTCCTGGTTTCTTTTGCAAATGGTGCCTGTAGCTTGTTTATTACCTCTGGGGTGATACTGAGAGGGTGTGGCCTAAGCAAAGGTGGGTGCTTTGCACAAAGACTGGAACTCAAGCAAATCCTCCCTGACATGGGGGACAGGACCCCACCAAAGGTTAGGAGAACGTTAGAAGCAACAGTTGCAACCCTCAGCCTTGTTATAGCCTAGAAGCCAGCTTTCTGCAAGGGGTCAGAAAGGAGGGAAGGGGACACTCAGTTTCCTGTCTGCCCTCAAACTCACGAAAAGACTTGGATTCCTTTGGTATGCGCTGAGAGGAGGAGGCACAGACCCCTCAGAAAGGCAAACTGGAAGTCTCCTAAGGGCCTAAAACAGTGGTTCTCAACCTGTGGGTCGTGACCCCTTTGGGGGTCGAACGACCCTTTCACAGGGGTCCCCTAAGACCATCGGAAAACAAAACGATACTTACATTATGATGCATAACAGTAGCAAAATTACAGTTATAGAGTAGCAACGAAAATAATTTTATGGTTGGGGGGTCACCACAACATGAGGAACTGTATTAAAGGGTCGCGGCATTAGGAAGGTTGAGGACCGCTGGCCTAAAACAAAGATGGAGAGCCACTAGACTATCAGGGGATTTATTGGTGATCTCATTGTCCTGTTGGCCACCTCTCCCCAAGGCCCAGCTTTCAAGGAAAAATCTCTGGGAGGCAGGATGTATCTTCGAATCACTGTTCAGGAGACCATCACTCCTTAGACTTGTGAAGGTCCCCTCGGATCCGTTCACAACTTAATGATGGCTGTAAAACTGCAAAGGAGCGAAGCCATGTTGACGTATATGTTGCACAGTGTCCCCTTTGGTACATTTGTCCACACATGGCCCAGTGGAGCTGCTCTGAGTGCTGATGAGCATTGATTTTGTAATACACGAGCGACTTCATCTGTTCTGCTCTTCGAGCCTCTTTTGTTTTGTGGGGGGAGCGGAAAGGTTTCTTGGGCCCCAAACACCAGAGAACTCCCTCTCTCACCAACAGCCTGTGGGTAAGAAATCATATTTACCAGCCTTATTTCTGGATTGCACAAAGGAGCCCCCACATATTTCAAGTGGGGAAAGGTGCTCACCAACGTGCTTTTGTCCTTGGTGGGCATTGCTGAAGGTCACCCAAGGAGGTTTCTAAGTGGGAAATGCCATAGTGGGTAGATTAGGCAGTTCAGGGTAGATTAGGGTTCAGTGACGGACACATCTGGAGATGTTGGCTACTGTCAGTCTGGAGAAGTGAAACTGGGGTGGTATTATTCTCTAATTGCCTGCTCAGCATACTTTTTAAATGTATTTTATAAATACCTTAATGCATACTTCATTATATCACAGCCCCACAGAAGGAGGGTCCCAGGAAAGACTGCCTTCATTTGACAGATGAGAAAGTCAAAGCCCAGAGAGGGATAGGCTCTTGTTCAAGACCACACAGCAAGTTTAAGACAGGGCATATTGCTCAGAGGGTATTGATGTGCCATCCTGAGATTTTAGTCTGTTGAACTATTAAACTCTGGTTAGGGACATGATCAGATGATCATACAGTTATTTTGTTTTTGTTTTTTGCTTTGATATTTCCCAAGTGCTTGCATGTACCTTACCATTTATTCATTTGAATCATTCCTTCTTTTATTCCATCATTCAATAAGTATTTCTGAGCCCCTAACATGAAGCAGGCATATAGACGCTGGAGACACAATGGTTAGCAAAGCAGACATGGGCTATGCCCTCGTGGGACTTTTGGTTTCGTGGGGGAGACAGACGCTTAACAAATAATTACACATAACTAAATAGGGACAGTCATGATAAGTGGTCCGAAGGGAGAGTTCATGGTGTTATATAAAGATCTGACCAAGTGTGGGAGCAAGGCTGGGTATATCAGCCAGGTTAGGTTCTGTTTTGCTGTGTAACAAACAGCTCCCAAACCTCAGGAAATAGTGGCACATATTTCTGTCTCTTTAATGCTGGTCTGTTCCTTGTGTTCACCCAGGAACCGACTGAGAGAGGCTCCATCTCAATCCAGCTTCCACAGTCACAGGAGAAAGAAATGCATTTCAGTGTTTCTTTCCAGAGGCGACACATGTTACTGCTGCCCACATTTCCTCGGCCAGTTCACATCTTGAAGGAGGGTGAGCAGGGCATTCTCCATGTGCCCAGAATCCCGACCAGGTAGGGTTCAGGACAGCGGCTCTGGTTTTAGTAGGGTCCTGAATTGTGCATGAGAGTTAACCAGGGAAGGTTAACGTAATAGAAGGGTGAGGGATTGGCAGCAGCAGGCGTGCGGGCCCTGAGGTAGGAAGATTCACAGCCTGTCTGAGCAGCAGAAAAAGGCCAGAGAGCTGGAACCCAGCGAGTCAGGAGGATGTAGCTCCCGTGCCAACAAGACACATGGGGACTTAGACGCCAGTGGAAGACTGTCTGTACCCCAGAGGGAGGAGAGTGGCCAGGTGGTGCTCACTTTGGCTTTAATATCAAGGACAAGGAGGTGGCGAGGGGGGTTCAGGGAGTGAATGCTGATGTATTAGAACACACCTGTGAGGTAGAGAAAACGCCCGTTGGGATGAACGGCAACTGTGGGCCAGAGAGGTGAGTTGCTTGGCCTAAGGGCTGCAGCTAGTAGGCACTAGAACTAGGATTCGAAGCCTCCCCCTCAGCTCATGCCTGGGCCCCATTGCCCACAGGGGCCTCCCCTGATGCTGGAAGAGTCTTCAGCATCTCACATCCTTGTTCAGCACCATTGGGCAGTACTCACATTTGCAAGGCTCACTTAGATTTCATTGAATGGTCAGAGCGCGCTCTTACATTTGTACTCCCGATTGCTAAGTTGCTCCTCTGTGTCACGCTACTGAGAAAACTTCCAAAAGATGATATTTGTGTATCAACAAGGATGACATGTTGGGGACATCAAAGAGAAGTTTCAGAAATGGCTGCTGGAAAATGACGGGAAGCCTTTTCCACGCTGAGCCCCTGTCTCCCAATTAGCCTACAAAAACATTCTTAAAGGAATAACCTTTACTAATAAAATGCTATAATCTCAATAAGACATTTCGGCAGGGGAATTATTAGATATTAATTCATGCCTAGTTGCACTGACAGCTCTTGGCCATCAACGCTAGCCTAATAGCACACTAGGTGAGAATTAATATGCCATAATTCACGCTCTGTCATGCATTATTGCTTCAATAAGATACATGAAGAATAACCTATTCTGGCGAAATAACTGGGATTTTCAGAGTTCTCCTGGCCAAGTTATAAATAGTTATGTTAGGATCCAGAATTTTTTTTTGTATTACTAAATTTGAAATAAATTGCATATATGTATCCTCATCTATAATTACTGTGAACATTTTTTTGTAAGTCCTAACATTAAGTTCAGTCATATTCCATGTTTTAAAATTGAACTTAAGGAAAATCACATAATTTTCTTGAGACCAAAATAGAAATTTCTTCCCTTCATATATAATTGTATGTGGTGCTATGGCACGATATGACTTATACGGATGATGGCTTAGGAGAGGTGAAATAGGCCTGACTTAGAGGGGTGCAAACTTGAAACCATGGGGCATAAGGGGGGCCTAGAAGATATTCTATTTATGTTTATGAAGAGTCTGTGCCTCTCTGGACAGTTATGGTTTCTCACAAATGCTGGTTTTCCTAGTAAGAGAGCAAAGTAGGAGGCAACCCCAGTCTTCCAGAAGCTGAAAGGGGCAGCATTGATGTAGGTGATAAATTGACCTTCTCCTCACAAAGTCATACCTGCGAAAATGCCACAGTCTGAGGAGAAAGACCATGGAGTCCATTGAAAGAGCTCTGTGGGCAGAGTGGTAGGCTCACAGAGTTATGAGATCAATCTTTAATGAATTATTCACGTGTGTATCATGTATTTATTGAGCACCTTGCTTTAAGCCAGCCTCTGTGATGCACCTGGGCGTCCAAGGGAGCTGGCAGCCTGGTGAGGGAGACGGGCACTCAGGTATATAGGTAGCTGTGACACCACATGGCCAAAGCCAAAGCCATGGTAACACAAGAGCTCAGAGGGGAGCAATGCCTATCGCAGACTGGAGGTGCTAGGCTGATCAAGGAAAGCTGCATGGAAGAGGTGACGCCTGAGTCTTCAAAGATGGGGAAGAATTAGCCCGATAGAATATTGGGGGTGAGGGGCAAGGGTGAGAGAAAAGGACACGGCAATGGGTGTAAACAGAGCAGATGCCACAGGGTGACGATCTTGCAGGCCATGGTAAGGGCCTCGTATGTTGCCCTGACAGGACAAGAATTTTCTTTGAGATATAGCTATCAGAGTGACCTGTGCAGTCCGTATCTGGGAAGACAAGTGGGGGAGCAGGGAGACCAGGTAGGAAGCTATTGTTTCCGTCCGGGAAAGGGGATGAATCCTAGGACTGGAGTAGAGGAGGTGACAGTGCAGACTGGGCAGTTAGGAGGCAGACGGGGCGTGTGTGTAGAGAGAGATGGGAAGAGGCTGGCGTGAGTGTGGGACGTGATGTGTCTGAGGCCTTGAGCTCATCGGGAGAGAAGTCTACGCTAAAGGTTGGGACGTGGGTGTCACCCACATTTGTAAACCTAGAACATCAGAGCTGAGAAGGGTTATTAGATATTGTCTTACCCATCCTACCCCCCATTTTAAAGACGGGGAACTGAATGCCAGAAAGAGGGAGAGCTTGTCAAGATGACAACGGAGCTCCAGAACGCTTTTCCAGATGGACTACTTCCTTTCAATAGAAAGTTTTCTATGTTAATCGCCAAACGGGAGAACTGACTGAAAGCGGGGCAGAGAGATCAGACGCTGGGTAATGACTTACAACACTGCTTCCCGAACTACAGTCATGCTCAAATGCCATTCATACATTTCACCACGATCGGCTAGTTAATATTTTAATTAACTCCGGTTTTTTGCTTTAATAAATATTTTTAAAAGAGAAAACTCACACTACTTCCATACATGGTAACTGTCCTGCTTTTTCCTGTAAAAAGAAGCAAACCTGAACATTAACTCCACAAAAATCAAGCAATCATATGATTTCAGCTGGATACTGTGGCCTGCCTGAGGCCCACTCCTTCTTTGTTAAAGAGAGAGAGTGCCAAATTTTGGAAAAGTGTTAAAGACATATTAGCACCAAATTGAGCCTGTCTGCTTGTCCGTATAGGATTGGAAAGGAATTATAAAGGGAGACATTTTCTCACTATGTGATTCAAGGTCATTAAGTAGCATGGCCCAGTGTCTCCTAACACAGGCCATGCATTGCGAATTACTGGGCTACAAAAAGGTGTCATTAAAACGTATCGCTTCCACATGTCCCAAAGATGGGTTGTTTTATTGATTAAGTGAAAAAGAATGAGGAAATGCCAAGCTGGCATGCAATGGCTGAATAACTTTATTAAAAACGCAGTCAAACCCATTTCAAATAACTCTTTGAGAGAATGCTTTCGGTTTGCCATCTGGTCACCCGAGGAGGATTCCTGTCTTGCCCTGGCCTCCTGGGACGGTCATGGCTCAAATGAGAATGTCACACACCCAAGAGCTGTGCTTGTGCCAGTGAGCCATCTCCAGAGATGTCGGCTCATTCCTCCAGGCCACCCGACTGCAGGAAGGAAAGGAGGCCACAGCCTTGGAGTAACTCCCCCTGGGGAGTGAAGTCGGCCCCTGCTGCTTGGGGCGTGGCGAAGGCCCAGCACGCACCCTCGCTTGGTTGGGGGCACACCCAGCACCTTCTGGCTCTCTGATGTACTTCTTTGGAAGGACTCCTGATTTTTTGTTCCCCACGCATCTTAAGTTTGGGTTCCCCCGCAAAGCAAAGGCTAAGAAGAGGACTTGGGTGCAGGTAGTTGGTTTGAAATATGGCCCCAGGAGACAAGAGTTGAAGAAACAGGGAGCGTAAGAAGGGGAAGGAAGGAAAGCCAGAGAAAGTGATTGAGTTGGTTCCTGCGACGGGCAAAGGCCGCCATCGCACTGGGGATTGTCCCGGAGTCACGCAGAACTCATCGCAGTGTTGTCTTTCCAATGGAATGAGGCCAGGGCTCTCTAAAGACTTCCAAGCCCCAGGGGAGGGTTGCCCAGGGTGCGTGAGGACAACTCCCTGGAGTCTGAGCGGTGCCCACAGCAGATGCTCGCGCTTCTGAACCCCGAGGTAGAAAGGTGGAGAGATGGCCCAGGTACACGGGTACACACCTGGATGAAGAGCTGTCCCCCACGCCTGTACTGAAATTAGCTGGCCCATGGGGAGGCCTCCCCATGTGCTCTCCAACACTGAGCAATGTGGACAGTGTGGAAGCCAGAGGGGGTTGCACCCCGAGGAGGGAAGTGCTGCACCCTCCCCCCAGGTAGTGTGGTGGAGGGTTGTGGGCGAGGAGGACAGAGCTGTGCCTTGAATTCCTCGCCCCTCTCTCCACCACCCAGCAAACCATTCTCACCCTCGTCTTCTGGGAAACGTTCCAGGTGGGGAGCCCCCCAGAGCTCCACTGCGTGTTTCAAGTGAACCTTGATTTCTTGTTTCCTTGGCTGGTCACCTGGCTGGAAGGGCTTTTCAGGGCCACTGGCTTTCGGGGCTCAGCGGCCTCTTCACAGGTGTAATTTACGATTTGAGCAAGTTGGTCATGGCGGGAGGAGGGAGAAAGGAAGGCGGTTGCTTTAGGACCATTCTCAGGATCAAGGAGGAAGTGCTGGTACATCAACCTCACTGCTGGTGCCTCGGAGCCTTTCCCAGACCATGGCCCAGGGAGCTCCCCATTTTGCTGAAATTGAGGCGCGTGAGATGAGGAGGGGTGTTGGTTCCCTTGCAGGTCTCCCTGGCCCCTCCCCTCCCCAGCTTGTCTGAAAAGGATGCAGAAATGTCAATTGTCTCCTAGCTCGGTGACTTTGCTAACCCAATCAATCCATATGAAAGAACAGATGAAATTGACTGATCCTCATATATTTAATGATTGCCGCTATTTGACCAGGATGAGTTTCTCAGGAAGCGCCTGTCACAAGTTATCGATAGTCTTTTAATCCCGCATTACTGAATGTCGGGCTTTCTGGCTCCCCGAGATGGCTGGTCTCGGGTGATTCCTGAGCTCGTGCAGCAAGAAAATGAGATGCCAAATGGCTCTTCTTCACGAGTGGATGATTGGGTATTAGTTCCTGGTTTATGGATTTTTCAGCAAATGCAGCTTCTTGTACAAGCGATCTCATGACTTCCCATCCTACCTTTGTAATTTCTAGGAAGGTCTCTGCTAATAAGAGACAGAATTTGTAGACAAAAAAAGATTCTCACTGTTTGCAATGATATTATGTGTGTAATGATGAGATTAGCTGTCATTTTTGGAGTCTGTGTTTTACAACTTTTGTTTGATTTTATAGTCACAGAAACCAAAAAAGTTTGATATTTTTATTTCTGTACTTTGTGATGAGGACACAGACGTTACAGAGAGATTAAGGAACTTGTCTGAGGTCACACAGCAAGCCCATGGCCAAGCTAAGATGCCAACCCATGCCATCAGACTGCACACACTGAATGGGTCTCCAATGCACGATGATAATAAAACTCATGTGTGCTCCTGAATTTGTGTGTGATGGGTATATGCCCTGTGATAATATTTGATCAAGATGCCAGGCTTACAAATATGGCAGTTATGGTCGCCTTATCATTAAGAGTTCACTGTCTCTTTGCAGCTCTGAGGGTGTCGTTTCCAAGATAGCCTGATACTAGGTGAATGTCTCAACTAGCAATCCTGTAGGAACAGTTACTCCACCATGCATGTTCCCCCTTCTCTCTCTCTCTCTCTCTCTCTCTCTCTCTCTCTCTCTATATATATATATATATATATATATATATATATATATATATATATATATATGCATCTGAGAGTCTGGCACTTTCAATTTAACACACATTTTATCAATAATTTATGTTGACCTGTTTCATATATTCACCCAACAATTATTTACCAAGTACCTACCATATGCCGATCACTGTGCTAGGAAAAAGAAAAGAAGGACACACAACCTGCACTCAGGAAACTCACAGTCTGGTTTCAGCAAATGCATAAAGACCATTGCAATATAGTATAAGTCCTGTGAGAGAAACTTAGGGCACTGTGGTGCTAGAGGCAGCACCTGAACCCGAGTCCTTGGGGAAGGCTTCATGGAGGAAGTGGTGTCTGCATGAAGTCTGGGTGGCCTGTGGCAA